ATAATTATGATCATATGACTGACCATAGCTGGTTCTTTTACATGCATATAAATTTCTAAGAAGAATAAATTCTGAATACCTGTCAAAGACAAATAAATTCATAATACCTATCAAAGTGAGTTTATGACAAATTAAAGTGACATTAAGTTATATATAGATAGTGAACACTTAGGTATATAAAAGTCAAATCATGTTAACATTTTGCCATAATTCCTTTCAATTTTATGATTTACTTCCCATTTTTATATCTTAAACAGATTAACAGTATTTAACCTCAACATTTTCCAATATTAAATGTTGGTCAATCAACATTATATAACAGTGACAATTATTATTTCAAATATTTTTTGATATACACAGTTAATTCAGCTTAACTTAACAATTAAAAAAGGTGCATAATGTCACTGGGACTATTTTAAATATTTTTAAAATATTTAATTATTGACGACAGCTTCCCTGTTATGTATTCGTCAGTATTTTCTTCTAGCCTAATATTTAACAAGCTTTCTTATTGGATATTCATATCTCGTTTTTTTGATTGGTCGTAGTAGTTTATTTAACGACGCTGCCAGTTATTCGCGCCACTTCTTGATTTTTTGTTTATAAGCGTCACTGTTTGAACAACATTTTTGCCCGCCCGCCCTTCAACAAGCCCATTTATGTAGTTTTATTATTATTATTATTTATTTATTTTATTTTTTTTTTTCGTTTTGTTTTTACATTCATATGTTCATGTTGTTTATTTGTCTTTCATCTTTATTTCATTTCATATTTTGTTTTAATAGTTATTTCCTTATTTAATTTATTGTTAATAGTTTAAAAATCAATTGTTGTGCATCCTATGCTTTGCATAATTTGTTTACTGTCATGAATCAATGTCATTTAAGTTCAGTGTTATAGGCGGGTATTTATGCTTGTTGCATTTATGTTCTACATTGTCTGTATTGCATGTTTGTTTAATTATCTGATAATTGAATTGTCTTCTTGTGTTGCATGTTTGCTTACTTATCTGATAATTGATTAGTCTTACATGTATTTCTTGTATTGCTTGTATATTTATTTGTTAATGTAATAGTCTTACAGTGACGCACATTCATTCATTAAAAATTTAATTATTACTTTGGTTTGAGTCGTTATTTAGCAAGGATAATAATTTGACTTTTTAATATCTTACAATTATGTAGTCTCACTCTGGTTACTGCCACTGTATTACAAAATACAATGTACATGATGTGGTATTGTATATCATTATGTACTAGAATATGCACAGATATGTAATGTATATGTATCATTTGAATTGTTGGTGTGTGGCTAAAATTATATTCATGTAGTTACTATAAATAATTAAAGTATTTAAAGTATTTATAAAATTTATTTTCAGTATTTATATGGATCAACATTTTTAGTTGTTTTACTGAAAATATGATGTTTTAAAAACATTTTTAATAAAAAATTATTTTATTTTTTTAAAAAGTGGGAATGGTCATGCACAATATAATATCCAAGCCATGCACCAACTGCCTGTAATTTTAATAATGTACTTTTTATTTTTCACCCTGAAACAGATCACTGGTAAACACTTCTAGGGAAATTATAAATGTATAAACGGACAGCTAGACAGACAAACCCAGATAATAGCTAACTAATTAATTGTACTATACTTCAGTTAGGGCCTTTTTTCACTTACCCTAATTAATACCATTTTATTTTAATATTAACTATGGATGGCTTTCCAAATTTTAAAAGAAAATCCCATACTTTTCCCCAATAACTGCATCAAAATTTTCCTTAAAGAACAGAAACAATCTTTTTTAGACTCAAATTGATATAGAGGATATTTGTTTAGTTCAGTGTAAGATCGGAATATATTTCACTGAGTGAGCACCAAAAGGTATATTTCACGAGTGGCGCAGCCACGAGTGAAATATGAACTTTTGGTGTTCACAAGGTGAAATATATTTCAATCTTACACTAAACTAAACAAATTTTCTTTTTATTACATGCAAAGGAACGTTTTAAAAAGACATTTAACCTAATACTGAATGAAAAGCGCGCCAAATAATAATACAACGTGACGTCATTTACGACGTCACATCATTAAGTTGGTACCCAGTACTGTACTAGTGCACGCTGGTATTTCACTGAAACAACGTAAGGGGCTTAAATTCAAAACAGTGAAATTATCAAAGTGGTAATGTTTTAATAAGATAGATAATTAAATTAATTAGAAAAAAAGTAAAAATGATTATACCTATATCCATTGCTCCTCTATACTTCATTAAATTTGAATAATTTTCACTTAAACACTATGCATTAATGACAATTTAACTTAAGATCACTCTGGATGAATGTGCAGCAGTTCATTAAACCTGAATAATTCAGGCACATGGCATTTAATATCACTCTGCAGAAAAAGTTGCTTATTTTTTCCCATAAAATAAATCCATGACAAACTATAGAACCTATCACATTCTAAAATTAAATGAAGTTAATTATTTTCTAAAACAGAAAAACTCAGGTCCTTTGTTCACATTGGCGCCTAGCATTATGGCCAGCTTATCAGCAGTGTTTATTTTTAGTAACGGTGGGTTTATACTACAGGAAGAACTTGTTACAAAGAAGGTCAGTTACTAGGAAATAGTTACAGTGCATATTATTCATTATGGACTGCCTGTTTCTATGGCAATGAATATTAAGAAAATGTTATCTTGTTGTCCATCTGGAACACATCACACCAACTTTCATGCTTTTGGTGAACCGAGTTATAATCAAAACAAATGTGTAAGCTGATCAATGTGGGGTTTTATACAATGGGAACAATGTGATTAAAATAATGAACACTAGTAATTGTACTGTCAAATTACAGCAGTACAGATGGGCTGATACTTTATGTTTTACACACAGATTATATAATTTTCATTTTAAGTATCTACATTTTAAGTATTGTCTTTTGTGAAACAATGCTATCTGTTTCATTATAATAGAATATAAAAAAGTAAAAGTCTCACTGGCGCACTGCTTTCAGAAAAAAAGAAAGCAACTGTGAGGAAATATTATGATTTTTGCATAACTGTACAATCATTTACATGACCTATATATTTATTTATTTATTTTTCTTTTTGTTGAAAACTTATCAGTTTTGACTGTATACCTTGACACAAAAATAAGTTTTCTTCCTCATAAAAGTAACTTTCAGAAAGCAATATATGCACACTTTGTAAAATGTGTACATGTACTAGTAGGCTCTAATGGCATAATTAAAATGGGGGGGGGGGGTAGTTGGGGAGAATCATAGACTGTATTCTGGAGGGGTGGGGAATGGGTGGCAGGTAGAGATACCTTGTAGAGAGTGAATTTTTACCTTTTGTGGTTCAATTTAACTGCACGGTATAATAAATAAAATATATTAAAGGTAATTCATTTTGTTATGTAATACATATTCACGTATGTGTTTTATTATTTTTATAAATTATGAGTCTTTTGAACAAGAGCTGTCAGTACGACAGTGTGGTTGACTTTTCTCAGTGCTCTATAGTAAAAACAAGAGCCTGGATAATTTAGAATTTTCTAAGTTGAAAAGGGAGATAATTCTGTCAAAATTTAGGTTGAGTTATTGGCCTTGGACAGTAACCTCCTATTATCCACTCAAAAAAGGGTGACACATTTTCTTCAGTTAGTTTTAGAAATACCAACTTGCATTCTAAACTTAACCAAAAGTGTGACACTGATGCTTGGGTGAGTACATAATATAGCTCTCCCTCAATTCTCCTATTATTCAAGTTTAATAGACTTAACCATATCATTATGGGTATATGAAGTTGATCATTGTGACATTGTGTACAAAATATTCATGTGATTTATTTAGATTATAGGACATTTAGTTCATAAAAGACTCTTTATCAAGTCTATCTTATATCAGATATTTGCTGTAATAGTGCACCTCATTGAGTATAAACTCTATACACTTAAAATCAATACAGACACATTACACTACAAGATCTATAATGCTTAAAATATCTTTTTAAATTTGATACCTTTACATTATCACATAACACTTGCAGTATAGCTAAAAATATTTACTTCCTACTTTAATTATTATTAAGATTAAAAATTTCAGTCACAATTAAAAGAAGACTTACTAGTTCAAATATTTAGACGAAAACCACAGATTTGAAGCTATTTTTTACAATGGTCAAATCCGCTTTTGCTGTAAACATAAACCTTTAAAAAAAAGAAAATGCGAAAGACTTAACATATAGAATTCTAATTCTATCCATATCAAATTTAACAACTGCAATATTTTAAAATTATATACACCTTCCCATATTTAATGGCATGGGCATGAATATTTTTTTTCATAGATCTAGAGTTATTATAGCCAGCATTGGTACAGTACAGATCTTGTGAAAATAAATCAACACTCAACAATTCAGTAAAGTTTAACTGGTATACATATTATGCACATCTGCAGTCAATTCCTAGTACTATGCGATGAGGTATTGTCATATTTTATGTATCAGGTCTACAGTACAGCAATATTCTGACCCAGAACAAACTTATTGTAGTAGTACTGTAGTACAGTAGTGATAGCTTTGGCAACTCACTATATTTTGACTATTCACTTCCCTGTCTTGCACCTCCGTCCGGCCCTCACCCTGCCACCCCCCTCATTTTCACAATATCCTTCACGGATGTCACGTGATATATAGAAGACACTTCAAATAAGTGAACAATGGCTAAGTGACAGCTAACTATAACAAATTTCAAATTATTTTAACTTATAGAACACTGTAGAAATATGACATATATACAGTACGTTATAATTAAATTATTATTTACACTGTATTTGTAACACAATTACGAAAAACCCCCTTTAACAGTAAGGGTAAAAATTTGTTGCTCGTGTACAATTATCATGATTATAGGCATGCTGCAAAAGAATGCAATCAAATGATTATTGATATGACAATAATTTTTGCAAATTTTAAAAATAATCTTACCTACACATTCTAAAATCATTCCATTACAATGATTACACACAGAAGAATGTGGTACACTATTTATTTACACACCCGATTGCAGCTGATGGGTTTTACAGTTTAATAGTACTCTACAGTATTAAGCGAGTCTGCCTGATAAAAGATAACACACTGTTGGCCTACAGTTCGATTCGCATTGTGTAAATCCTTGTAAGGGCGGTAATCGATAATTACAAGTATGATAATATTGAAAACACGTGCACGATTTCTTTGCATACGTCAAATTGAGCACCGCATTTATCCAGGGTATGATAAACGTTGCTGATTTATCAGATCATCTGATATAAATCTAGCCATCTAGATCTTATATATCTGGAATATTTGGCCTAATTACAGATCTAGATCGAGTTAAAATCAGACAGATCTATAGGCTGGATCAATTCATTTATTTAAATATATATATTGGTTCAAGATAATATCGAGTGACATTTGCACGGACGTCCGTACAAGTTTGGACAAAATTCCCGGGGTGTTTAATTTTTAAAATTCCCATTCATTCTTGTCATGTACACCTTGTAAAACACATGTAGATTTGGAAGAGTTTGACATATACAATCATGTAGATCCTGGGTAGGGGTGGGTGCGTGGGGGATCTAAATAACTATGCATAATAAATTATGAACTGTTGAGAAACATTTTCCAACCCAAGTCTTAATATAGAGAATTTATAAACATTATCTTTGACCAATACCTTTCATATAGAATAGCCCTGGTTCAAATGGCTCAAACCTCAATACTGAATAGTCCAGGTATGAGCAGATATTACACCCAGAACAATATGCAAGAAAATATATATTGATATTGCTATGGCTTTTTAAAACAATGCACTTTCGGAGGGGACCGTTCGCTCTCTCCGTTTTTTCCAGAATAATTATAGTCTTACTGCGAAAAATACACCCAAATAGTTTTTCACTCAATCCGGGCTAAGAAGATCACAAACATGATGTTCATTCTATTTCTGAGTATTTTTCTGAATAACTGTTGGATATCTTTCTGTTTTAAGTAGTCCAGCTGATTTATGTAAAAAAATTCAAATTTATGTTTAAGGCTGTTCAGGGTCTTTCAAATAGAAATAGAAAGACTCTTGGTCATTGGACCTCAGTGGAGTTCCTTTAAGATATGAGATATATAATAAAGAACTATTTTTATTGATATTAAAACAAAGGATAAAATATATATGGCTGATTGATTTTAATAATAGATTAGAAGACTCGACAAGAGCACTGTTTTTTAGAACAATAGTTAGTTTTAATTTTAGTAAATATCTAGATGTTATAAATATACGTAAGTACAGACACGGATTTATATTGTAATATAAATCCGTGGTACAGAATAGCTCTAGCACGTTTACGCATGTCATCTCATAGATTAGCTGTAGAATCTGGAAGGCGGAGAAAACCAGAATGTGTTCCTTTTAATGAACGAATTTGTCATATATGTAATACATTAGAAGATGAATACCATTTTGTACTTGTATGTAATATGTTTAAAGAACTTCGTAAAAAATATATCAAGAGATATTATTGGAATCACCCTAGTAATTTTAAACTTATTTCTCTTATGAATACAGAAAATGTAACAGATATTCGTAATTAAGTATAGGTTAGTGTTTAATAATATGTATTAACAAAAATAATTGGTCAAGCCTGCCGCAGGCAGGCGACCAATTATTTTTGTTAATGCATATTATTAAACATTAACCTATTTAATGATCAACATTATTTTTTTTTTCACAAAAACAAGGCATTTCTCTAAATCACTGATAGCTCCGCCCTTTCGCTCTACAAGATGCCTACACCTTGTCAAGTTTCTAACATTTCACATTTAGATTAAAGCTAAATAAATGGCCCTTTCAACATATAATCAGGCAAATTTTTACTGAAATGTCACAGAATTTATACCTTTATCTACAGTAATTACATGTAGGTAAAAACAATAAAGTTAATAAAATGTGTACATCCTTTTAAAATAAATGGAAAATGTGAGAAAAATACATAAGAGATTATTAATTATTTGTAAAACAGTTTACAGATGGAGGGGATCAGTTTACAATGAGTTTTCCAGCCAAAAATGTAATCATTGTATTCTTAATATCATTGGATTGTTAATGCAGTTCATTCCTATCAAGTGAAAGAAAATAAGTTTTTGGTTACTTTTTCTAGGAAACATAAAGTTAAAACAGTCAGCAATTTATAACAGATATTTTTATTAGAGTTAAAAGGATATAAATAAGTTACTATGTAATCATTTGTCTCTGCGTGCCCCACATGTATTATCTATGTAATAAATCATTTGATTGTATCCTCACATTTAGAAAGCCTTATTATTTTTACGTTGGCATTGTTTTGCTAACCTTTATAGTTTCCAATTCAGAGTGCAAACCACACCTCTAACACCTCCCTAATATAATGCATTTACTGAAATTGGTTAGACTGGTTAGACGACAGATTAAGTAAATTTTATTTAGTTAGTACACATTAACCAAAGTTAACCAAA